CCCCAGGGGGGATGGTCACACTGCAATCCCTTCTCCTCCAGTCTCCTCTCGGGATCTTGGGCACGCACGCACACGCTCCCGGCGTGAGTTTTAAGCCACCGGGTCCGGGATGCAAACTGCGGTTGACTACGTGGGAGTCCAGCGACATAGCCATTACGCTAACTGTTGGTTCCCTGATTTCTCACTTTCTATCTGTCTGCTTCTGTCTCTCCAGCAAGCACACATGCCCTACAGCAGAAATCTCTCTTTAAAAAAAAAAAACCTATACACAGAAATGCACACACAATGATGTTTGCAACAGCATCGTTTGTAATGGCTAAATATCCATCAATAGTGTTCTGTCATCTGTCATTGCTGCTGATTCTTGCTCAGCTGTTTTGCCTTTTTCATGCACTCAGTCACTCTTGAGTGTGTCCAGAACATCTTATTCTTTCCAACTGTAGAAATAACTTTAGGCTTGGGAGGGTGTCATTTTTCTCCCGAGGCAAGTTTTGTTTCCACATCCCACGAGTGTATTTAGCAATCTAGGAATACTGGCTGGTGGAAGAGAGCAGTGCAGATCTCCAAAGTATACACTGATGGAAAGTTGGGAGCCTCTAGGTAATATTCAACTGGGCTGCCCTCTGTCTAAGGACTGATTTACTTCCAGTTGACCTTTACGCTTAGGTGTAGTCCTTCGGTGTCCCAAGTCAAAGCAGGGTTGGGGTTATACTTTATCAGAGTAGTGCACTGACCTTGTTTTGGTGGTTGTTACTGCTGTTTTGTTTTGTTTTTGTTGTGTAGCTTTCGTTTCCTGAGACATGGTTGATGGCAAACAGGGTCTCAGCCCCGTTACAGATCGGCAAATGCCACTATAACCGAAGTATTCGTGAGTCTAAGGCTCACTTCTCTGGACTCATGTATTGTTCCTCCCAGTCCTTATCTTCAACAGACAATACCACACCTCTTTGTGCCATTAATGCTTTGCCTCCTTGTCACTCCTCCAAATGTCCTTCCTCAGACTCTCCTCTTGCACACACACTATATCTGGTATTTACATCTATAGACGGCGTTTCTATATCCTTTAGTCAATTAGTTTCAGTCATAGAGTGCAGACACTTGGTATATAGTAAGTGGGGGCATACAATGCCTCTCCTTCATAGCATGGCTTGCTTCACTCATTTTAAAATAAATAAATAAATAAATAAATAAATAAATAAATAAATAAATAAATAAATAAATAAATAAATAAATAAATAAATAAATAAATAAATAAATAAATAAATAAATAAATAAATAAATAAATAAATAAATAAATAAATAAATAAATAAATAAATAAATAAATCTGGGATCATACCATTAAAAAAAAAAAAAAGGTAGAAGTCTCTCGTCCTCTCAGGTAAACGAAGAACAATCTTTTGTCTGCCAAGAGGAGGATAAGACCTTCCTGAGCCAGGCAGAGGCACGGTGGTATTACAGCTGCACTCACATGTGAAAGGTCCTGAGTTCGCATCCTCGAATCTTGCTGAGAGTACTGGACAGATGTGTGCCCACGATCGAGCCTGGGTGACACTGGGCCTGGGTCGTGGCTAAAGGACTGTGTCTGTCTGTCTGCCTCTCTCTCTGAAGGAATAAATAAATACACTTAGAAGAAAAAAAAAAGAGTAATGCCTTTTTACGAAATGAGATCTCCTCCATACTTTAAGCTAGGATTCCCAACATTGGGTGATAGAATCACTTAGGGAACTTTTAAAAATATCCACCAGGTCCAGGACTCCTACATGGCCAACCACTGTTTGAGTCCTGGACCTGGTGGCTTGAAACTTACACTGGGGGCATAAGCATGCGTATTCAAAATCCTGAGAGGATAACAAAGAAAGGATTGTAGGGAGAAGGGATTGCAGTGTGGCCATTCCATTTGGGGTGTGATTTCTCACTTTCTTTTTTTTTTTTGGAGAGGTTTTCGCTATAGGGCGTGTGCGCTCACCAGACAGACAGAGAGAGACAGAGAGACAGAAAGCGAGAAATCACCCCCCAGGGGGGATGGTCACACTGCAATCCCTTCTCCTCCAGTCTCCTCTCGGGATCTTGGGCACGCACGCACACGCTCCCGGCGTGAGTTTTAAGCCACCGGGTCCGGGATGCAAACTGCGGTTGACTACGTGGGAGTCCAGCGACATAGCCATTACGCTAACTGTTGGTTCCCTGATTTCTCACTTTCTATCTGTCTGCTTCTGTCTCTCCAGCAAGCACACATGCCCTACAGCAGAAATCTCTCTTTAAAAAAAAAAAACCTATACACAGAAATGCACACACAATGATGTTTGCAACAGCATCGTTTGTAATGGCTAAATATCCATCAATAGTGAACTACTCTAATAAGTATGGTATATTTGCCTCGTGAAATGAAACCCAACCAGCAAAAAAATAAATAAATAAATAAAGGAAGGAAATTCAGAAATACTGACCTGGAAAAAGATCTAACACATATTGTAAATGGAAAAAAACAGATCACAGAAAAATGCATAAGTTTGATCCCATATTTCTGTGGGAAAATATGAGTGTATTTATACAAAAGGCTCCTCACTCATCTGTTTCAGACTCTAATGTTCCCTTCTTCAAGGGGACTCATGAATAATTTCCTTTGAAGATGTAGCACAGCAGAGTTGCACCTTACATAAGGCTAGATTCCAAAGTCAATGCATACTGCAGAGATTGGTAACAGTCCGTGTCTTCCGACTATCCCCTAGATTGCCCACCTCTTATTTTGCATTTTCTACCCTGAACTGCCTCATGTACTTTATGCATAAATGTACATGATGCTCATTAATCTACTATATATAGTAGACTATATATATCCAAATTAAAATTCTTGCTTTTTGGTTACATTATTTTTTTCTCTACTTTTGTCATGTCCATGTAATAGATGAATTTACTTATGCTGGCTGAGTGAGTGACATAACTTCACCATACAGACAGCTAACTCCCTCAAGAACTCCCCCCAAATAAATTACCTTTTCAATATTCCCTTTCAGCAGCTCTATTCGGGCATGATAAAACAGCATGAGCGAGCCCTGTGGAGGGAGGAAGAAAGCACACTGTTCAACAGTCAATGCTGGTTAACTAATCATGATTGAAACATGTCTGAAACACTACACATACATTTGGAAACTGCTGGAGGAAGGGGGCAAGGAGACGCTCTGCTTCCGTAACATTCACTTCGCCCGTACCTAGAAAATGAACAGAAAAAGCTTCAGTCTTCATGAAACATAAAAGATAGAACTACCTCCAAATTTCATTAACATATAGCAAAGATCTATTCATGGAAAAGATGAAAACTATTTGTTGATCTTACATCTGGGAAATAAAACAAAGACAAGCCTCATCAATGACTTTAGTGTAATAAAGCTCTAAGAAAACTAAGTCTCTAGCTGGTTGTCTTAGATTCCTAATGGAAATTTTTTGTTTTAATAGCAGTATTAATTTACATTGGCCAAAAGACTTATTTTCTACAGAAAAAAAAATCTAATGTGCATATGAAAAAATAGATTGCTTTACTATAGAAATTTCAGTGGGGAATAGATTTTAAATATTCCATGAAAGAAACTACCCTACTCCTCTGCCAAATGTTACTAAGACGAATGCCACTATTTTTCAACTTTTCTCAAAACCAACTTTTTTTAAAGATGGACTGCTAATTCCTACTAATTGTTCTAAATATTATCATATTTGAAGACAATCACCTGTCAATGAAGCATAACGTTATCCAGCCCTTACCGAGTATTAGGGAGATGTAAGTATGAAAAGCTAGGATGGTTAAACAGCACAGCGGAGACCTCATGCTTCTTCCTGATGCGCCCTCCCGTAACTGCAGGAGGCCCAACTCCTATGGGAATTAAATGTAATTTAAAAAGAGAACAGGACCAGCAGGTGGCGTGATGGTTAAGGTGTTGAGTTTCCACATGGCTAACTGGGGTTTAAGTCCCAGACCCAGCAGCTCAAAAATCACAACACATAAATTGTTTAAAAAAATTTTTTTTTTTTTAAAAAGAGAAGAACATGACTGAAAATATATTCACAAACATTAAGATGATGGTTTATATATATCTACCTTCCATAAAGGTGAAACTTATTTTCAGGAGCTTAGAATAATGGTAATGGCTGGGACCAGCAAATGGCGAAATGGTTATGTCGCTGGACTCCCATGTAGTTAACCACAGTTCAAGTCCCAGACCAGCTGGTTTAAAACTCACACCAGGCACATGTGCATGCATGGGTGCCCAAAATCCTGAGAGGAGAATGGAGGAGAAGGGATTGTGGCGTGGTCATCCCCTCCAGGGGGTGATTTCTGACTTTCTGTCTCTGTCTGTCCCTGTCTCTTCGGTGAGTGCATGTGCTCTATAGTCAGTGAATGTATGTGCCCTATAGAAAAAAATCTCTCTTAAAAAAAAGAAAAAAAGAAGAAGAAGAAAAACGGTAATGGCTAACTAGAAACAAATTTTATGCTTTTACAATTTCTTTTAAAATTTTGCTATAGGACATATGCGCTCACCAAAAAAGAGAGCAAGACAGATGAACAGAAAGTGAGAAATCATCCGCCATGGGAACACATTTCCCTTCTCCTTTCTCCTTTGAGGATCTTGGGTATGCATGCACAAGCACCCAGTGCAATTTTCAAGCTGCCAGGTTCAGGACTCAAAAACTATGCTGTCGGCCATTTGGGATCCAGTCGCCTTAAACACCACACTACTGCCTGGCTCCAAACATTATGTTTCAAACTGGCACAAGGCACTCTCACAAATCCTTTTATATCATGTGCTTCTAGGGAGAGAAAAAGGCAGTGCTCGTTTCATAGAAATGTATTTCTCTGAAAAAAATATTAATTCACTAAAACATACTGAGGATCTAAGTGCAAGGCTCTATGGGAGGTATGAACAACTGTGATTCTACATCTTCAAAGGTCTTCCATCCAATAGGAAAGATGGCACTGAACATATCATTTTATTAGAATATGGTGAGTGCCATAAGAAAGGTAAACGAATGGTTGTGAATGTCAAGAATAGTTCATCCTTGCTGGGGCAGTGCAAGGGAAAGCTTGTGGAATCGACTTTTATCTCAAACCTAATGGAAGGAGAGTCTCCTGAGAGGAGAAAGCTACACGGGAAGGGTAGGCAAAATAGAGACCAGCAAAAGCACAAGAACAAGAAAACATAAGCAAGAACAACTGTCTGGGG